AGTCATCCCGATGAACGGAATGGGAGAAGAATCAAGGCTTTGGGGTGGTTGGAAACCGAAGATCTCACCTCCTCTGTTGGCGTGGATGAAATCCACCAGCCTCCATGGATGGTCCCGATGGACCCAGGTTCTCCTGGAGACCAGGAGATGAACAAAGTGCCCCTCCCAGTGCCACGCGGCCCAGAAACATCCATCACTTCCTGCCCAAAGCCCAACATGGATCATCTCCCACCTCTTTGAGGGTCTCCCACTTCTTTGAGGGTGTCCCCTACTCAGAGGACCTTCTCTTCCCTCCTGGAGATTCTCCGACTTGGGCTCTACCACCCAACGGCAGCCATGAGCTGGTGAAAGGGCTCCCACACCCGCTCCGAGAAAAGACGTTGTCACCTCGGAGCTTCTCTGGACCATCTGTGGGACCTCAGGGGTGGGGAGGGCAAATATCTGCACCCCCCTTCTTGCCCCATACCCAGGCGTGACTCCCTGCGTTCCCACCCCAGGTCCCTTCCCACTGTCGTCCTCGCCGGGAAAGGACGGAGCGGGGAAAAGCCCCGTTTTTCCTCGGGATAACGAGGGGGGACGTGATCCCACCCACCGCCCGGGGCCACCCCAGAGCTGCATCCCTTCCCACAGCCCCCAGAAAACGTTAAACAAGGAAAGAAAATTCTAAATATTTGTAATTTTTTTGAGCAAATTCCACCAGAACAGGTCCTCTTTCAACATCCTTAAAAAAAAAATACGGAAAAATCCATTGAAGGAGGAGAAAACGCGTCCCGAAGCGCCGTGAGGGAAAGCTCATGGGCGGAGGCGGAGGTGGGACCCTCTCCCCACCCAGAAGAACGGGAAGACCCTCTCGCCCCCGAACGCGGCGTTTTGGAAGGTGAAGATGGGGGGTTCTCCCTCGGCGAGGGAAAATGCCACCCGCCCCCCGCCGTAGTCCAGAGCCACCCGGACCCTCCCCGTCTCTCCGGCGGTGGGGAAGGTGGCGATGGGGGAAGCGAAGACGCGGTACCGATTCCCGCACCGCCCCATGGCCCAGATCCCCTTCTCCGGCCGGAACTCAACACAACCTTTCCTGGGCACGGAACATCTGGCCACCCCCAGCGCCCAGGTCCTGCCAGCGGCCACCTCCACCTCCCAGCAAGGTCTCCCCATGGTGAAGCCCCGGCAGCCCAGGACGCAGCAGGAGATATCGAAGCGTTGCGGGGTGGTGGGAAGATCCTGCTCTACGTCCGTCCATCTCACCCCACGGCGGTCCCGGGACAGGACAAGATGGGCGTTGGCGGTGTCAGGGTCCAGAGTGAAGAATGCTGGTGGGGATGGAGAAGAAAGTTGTGTTGGAGGATGATGAGGGCATCATCCCTCCAAAAAAGCCCTGCTCTGGCATCTGCCGATGTCCTGGGCTTGGCAGGAGAGACATCTCCACGTCTTCCTGCTTGGAGAAGCCTTGCCTGGTGGTGGAGGACTGGCCAGAGCTCCTTTGTATCTTGAGGAACCCCAAAACGAGCTCAACTCAACGTTTCCCCACTGTTTTAAGGACAATTTTGGCTAAAAATGACTTGGAGCTGCTCCTCCAAAGAGCCTCACCCTTTCCATCTCCTCCCAGAGATGCTCCGTGCTCTTTCTCCAGCTCAGATGGCAAAGTGTCTACGGGGGTGAAGAACAGAGGTTGGGTGTCACGTTCTCCGGCTGGTGATTCTGTTTGCTCTCGCCCCCATCGTCGTTTTTCCTGTTTTCCCAGGAAAAACCAGCAGCAGATGGAGGAAGAGAACAGAACCCCCCACCGACGGCTCCGCGGTACCTCGAAACCTCCTCAGCGACTCTCCGAGGACGACGTTTTGCCGAGAAACGAGACGGAGCCTCCGCTCCACGTCCGAGAAGGTCTCCGCCGTCGTCATCCTCCGAGCGCTGCCCATCTCCCACCTGGATGCAAACCTTTCCCCTCAGATATGGGACTCGTCGCGACGACACGACATGCCGGGACTGTCCCCCCTCCCCCTGCACCCGAGGTGACCTGGGGATGAGCTGGTTGTCCCCCAAAACGTCCTTCTGGCCCAGGCTGGGAGAAGCCAACCAGCTCCGTACAGGAGGACACTTGGTTCCCCGTTGCCTTGATGGCCAAGAGGACCTCCGGTCTTATGGTGCTTTCTCTCATGGCATCCCCACACTTTGGGGTTTAGGGGCACCTTCTTGTCTCTCCATCCCTCCAAACCTCACTCCAAGCCCTGCCTGAACTCCTCCAAGCCAAAACATCCGTCTTTGTTCCAGAAACCATGGAGATGGTGCCTGTGAACCTTCCCCCACCGTTGAGACGTGGGTGGTGGAAGAGCACCTACCTGTCCACAGCGCTCCGGGCGTCCTGGAATAGAAAGAGAGAAAAGGCTCAGCCTCCCACCCCCAAACTGGAGGAAGACTCCAGCCGAGGTGACGTCGCGTGTGGACCTTCTCCCATCTCGCCCCGTAGAGCATCCAACCTGCAGGAACCCGCTCGTGGGTTGCTCCAGCATCTTCTCCATCTCGCAGATCAAGACATCGAGGAGGGAAATCTCCCCCAACATCTTGGTCTCCTCTTCCTCCTGCCTCCTCATCATCTCTCTCTCCAGCTGTCCCAGCCGAGCCAGGAGGATGAGCTCTCTCCAGAACCGGGCGCAGCTGCCGGAATTCGGACACGATCTTCTGCCTCTCGACCTCTGTCTGCGTCTGGGGGACACGGAAATACCACGGCATGGGCCACGCTAGTCCAAAACTTCTCCGTTTTCCAGGTGATGGCAACATCTACTTACCAAATAGTCCCGACGTCGCCTCTCTCCGCTTATTTTCAATTCCAAAATCTCTTCCCTTTGTTTCTTGAGCTTCTCCAGGTCACCATAGATTTGCTCCTGGAGGAAGGAAAATGGTTTGGGAGGGTCTCTGGGGGTGGGGTGGGGAAGGGATGGGACAGCTTAGAAATGCTCCTTCCCCTCATTTAGGGAAAATGAGGGATGAGAATGGAAATAAAAGGAAATGAGGAATGAGAGTGGAAATAAATCGCAGCGTGGGCAGGAGGGTGGAGGAGACACGGGAGGACCACAGAAGACCCAGTTTCATTCTCACGTGAAATAAATTGGAAAATACCTGTTGACGGACTCGGGGCAAAGGGTTTAGTCAGAAAAAATTAATATTTTCATCTTTTTAGCCGAACTAAAAGAAGAGTTGTCTGTTGGTTTGGCGTTCCCATGCCCTCAACTCTCCTCGGTTATTTCCATTTATTTATTTTCTTGGTGGAAAAAACAATTATAGGGAACTTCAAGCTGGCTGGAAGCCTGATGTCCCACCCCTGGAGGTGTTCAAGGCCACGTTGGATGAGGCTTTGGGCAACCTGGTGTAGTGGAGGGTGTTCCTGCCCATGGCAGGGGGTTGGAACTGGAAGATCTTGAAGGTTCCTTCCAACCCAACCCATTCTATGATCTTGAGAAGCTCAAAAGAACCTACAGCGTCCCTTAAAGTGTTCAGAAAAGCGTCATAATAACCCAAGCTCGGTCGTGGACCTGACCTTGTCCTCCTGGGCAGATTCCTCTAGGTGGGTTGTTGTAGGACCTCCGCAAGCCTTTGGCCCATCACAGCTGGAACCAGATGCTTTCGCGTCACCCTTGAAGGTGACCGTCCTCTTGCGCCAGGAGCAGAGACGTTCCTTCTCCTCCCCGCCTCCCTCCAGACCCAAGAGCTTCAGCTTCTCCTCTAAATGCTCCAAATGCCGTTTTGGTTGGAAATTCCCTTTCCTGAGTTGGCTTCGGTGGCCGACTGCTTCGGCGTCTCCGAGCCGTCCTCGTTCTGGCCGGGATTGGGTTGCGCTGACTCCGCAGGTGGTGGGGTCACAGCCCAGATGACCGGGATCTGGCTGATGCTTCAGGAAGGTGTGGTGGGTGCTGTCTTCTCCTCCTTCCCTTGATTTAGATGAACCAGAGGCCATGGCAGCAGCTTCTCCAGCTCCTCTTGGTCCTCGTCCTCTTGCTGCCTGCAGCGGAGCGAACACGTCAAAGTTCTCAGCATGGTTGGAGGGAGGAGGAGCAGCGGAGAGGAGCTCTAATCTCTTCCAGATGTTCATTTTGGAAGGGACGAGTTGCTCTCCAGCAAGATTTGGACTTTAACGTCCATCTCTTGAGCGCCGAGGTTTGTCCTGTCTATGTGCAAGTCTACCCCACGGGGGTTGCCATCTCTCGTTGGCGTCTCCGCTCCCGGGATGGCCCAAGGAGAAGGAACCCACCTGGTGGGAACCCATATTTCGTCCCTGAAGCTCAGGCTCTCCCTTCCTGGTGTCCCCCCACGCCCCCTCCCCACGGATCGAAGCCTGGAGGTGCCCTCACCAACGCAGAAACCCTCCGACGGCGCGCGCGTGCTCCAAAACTGGGCTGGAAAGTGGTTTTTTTGGGTCATTTTACTGCTTCCCTGTTGTCGGGAACCAATTTTGGTCACCGATGCAGCAGGTGGAAGAACCTGAGAGCAGCCTCAGCAACACGACCCCCCTCCTTGATGGCTGGAGCCGCACGGACACGCCGCGGCAATCCCAAAATTAATCACCCTCCATCTCTACACTCGGAAAAACATCTGGAGCGGTCAAGACTCTGCCGGTTCCCTTTGCCGGGACATCTCCAACCATCCCAAAAGAGACACTTACCGGTGGCACGAGGTCTTTGCCGATAATTATTTATTTAAGCGGGGGGTGACTCAGTCCATGGGGCTCCTCTCCAGCCACCCTGGAGCCGTCGGAGCTCGGAGTCGGATCACACAGAGGGCGGAGCGGAAAAATACCAGCCCTATTTAAGGAAACATGGAGAGGAACGCGGTGGCCGAGATCTCCTGCCAGGGACACGCTTGTTCACCTCCCCCCACAGATCAGCGTCTCAAACTCGGGTTTTTAATCCAAGATGGAGCGTGGATGGAAAATATTCCATCATTTTCAGCTGTGGGATTAATAATCTTTGGCTCCCGGGCGAGACGAGGCACCTGCCCGCCACGCAACGCGTTGGCCATCCAACCCTAGGGGATGCCTTCCCGGTCGTTAATTGAAAATTAATTAATTCCAGCAAAACCAGGGCGACAAACGCGTGACTCGAAGTCGGTGGTGGCGATTTCCGGCGTGGAGGAAGGGCAGTTCCTCCTCTGCGGCGTTTGCCGCGTTGACAGTGACGTAAAAAAAAGGATTTATGGTTATTTTTTTATTATTATTATTAATTTATTTCCCCCCGATTTCTGTCTGCTGCTACAAAGCCCAGAGAAGCTGTGGCTGCCCCATCCCTGGAGGTGTTCCAGGCCAGGTTGGATGAGGCTTTGACCAACTTCATGTAGGGAAAAAAAAAGCCCATGGCAGGGGGGTTGGAACTGGATGGTCTTTGAGGTCCCTTCCAACCCAACCCATTCCATGATTCTATGATGACAGTCGGAGCGCTCAATCGGGAACGGGGAAGAAGGAGGTTTGACATTGCCCTGGTCTTCATCTCGCTGCTCTTAACCACCTAAGTGTTGGAGTTTGGATGGAGTAAGGTGCCTCCACCACTCCTCCTGCCCCTCGAGCCACTGGCTCACCGCCGGCGAAGGAGGTGAGGTCCAGGAGGAACGCGGAGGATCACTGGACCAGGGAGAGCGAGCCCAGCTCCACCCAGAACCATGGCCGGATCCGCTCGCCGGCGAAGGACGCCGGCGGAAAAGTGAAGATGGGTGTTGCGTTGTCCACGTCGAAAAACGCCACCTCCCCCCATTCGTAGTCGAGAGAGACGCGGATCTTCCTGGGGACCCGCGGGAGGTTGAGGAGGGTGGGAGGGGAGGTGAGGGCCCGGTTCTGGAAGCCCCACTGCTGCACCGCCCAGATCCCTTCCTCGGGGTTGAAGCTGATGGAACCCTTCCTCTGCAGAGACTCTTTGCTGACCCCCACGGCGCAGTACTGTCCCTCGGCGAGATCCACCACCCAGTAGTGTCTGCCGGAGGTGAAGGCTTCGCAACCCAACACGCAGGGATCGGCGTCGAAGCGCTCCGGGCTGTCGGGAGAGTCCCGCAGGACGTATTCCCACCTCACGCTCTTCTGGTCATCGGAGAGGACGAGGCGGGGGTGGGCTGTGTCCGGGTCCAGCGTCACGTCTGCTGTGGGAGAGGAAAAAGAAGGTGAGAAGGAGGATTCAAAGTTATTTAACCTGAACTGGTTAATAACTGGTTATTTCGATGAGATCCAAGGAAGAAATTTTTTACAATGAGGGTGGTGAGGTGCTGGAAGAGGTTGCCTGGAGAAGCTGTGGCTGCCCCATCCCTGGAAGTGTTCCAGGCCAGGTTGGATGAGGCTTTGGGCAACCTGGGGTAGGGCAGGGCGTCCCTGCCCATGGCAGGGGGGTTGGCACTGGATGGTCTTCGAGGTCCCTTCCAACCCAACCCATTCCATGATTCCATGACTGGTGTCGTCTTGGGAATCTAACGGGGCGTTGTGTCTTTCCATAGTTCAAGGATCGATAATTCCACGTGCAACTTCCTCTCCACGTGTCCGCGACACCGCTCGGCGAATCAGAGCGCTGAGTTACTCCTCTCTGCCTTTCTCTAAATTACTTACCCATTTTTTCCTCATTTTTCCCTAAAAACGCACAATAAAACAAAACAAAAATAAACAAATAATTAATGGCGACGTAAAATTAAACCCAAAAGCCAAAGGGGTGTTTGTAGACGGGAGAAAAAGGCACTTACGGTGCTCTTCAATGCATTTTCCTTAAAAAAAAATAAAATTAAAAAAAATTAAAAGTCGTTTTAACGGGAGTTTTTCAATTCCAGTTTGTGCTAATTTCAAAAAATAAAATAAACGAAAATTTATTTTAATTTTAATTTAATTTTTTAAGGCGAAGGAACGGGACACTCACGTGCTTTCGCTCGGTATTCCTCTGGAAAGGGAAAAGAGAGAAACAACAGAGGGGATTTATTGGCCATTTCTCCTCCTTTTTTGTGTTCCTAAG